CTATATATGATGTCAGAGGGGTAGCAGACTTGGAACGGGGATTATCACTTTGTGAGGGGTGTAAATGTCTAATCATTATGCTGTTTTGTACACCTGAGACATAAAAAAGAAAATCCCTTGTATTGCTGGGTTTTTCAACCTGAGTGTGCCCTATTGGCTAGTGCATCAGTCATTCATTGGGCATCAGTATTATTGGTCCTGCCTACCAATGCCTGGCCTCCTATTAAATAATAGAGAAAATGGCCAGCAGGGCAGGGCCAGGACCCCCAAACCCAACCCCAGCACAGACCCTTCTGCTCCTTACCTGCAGACCAACCCACAATAAACGCTAGAATTCAGAGCTAGTGATAGTAGAGGCAGGAAAGGGCTGTGGTGGGGGCACCTTAGGATTTTCCCAAGGGAAAGAGTCCAGGTGCTTTGGCAAGGAGGCTGCACTTGGGAACACAGGCTGCTCCCCAGACCGTCTCACGGAGGTTTAAAGCCACGTGTCAGGAGAGCTGGTCTTTTTAGCCCTTTGTTAAGCCCTCCTCTCATTCCACAGATGGAGAAACTGAGGCCCAGGAGTGTCATTTCCCTGACATTCTCTTTTTCTCTCTGTCTCTCTATTCCCCGCCCCTGTACCCCATATTCCCATGGAGTAGGTCAAAGGCCCTGAGCTGGATGGGATAGCCTGGCTCTCTGGTCTTGGCCCCATCTTGTGACTTTCCGAGCTGTAGCCCCTGTTCCTAACTCCGTTCCCTATAGGACACGTCACCTGGGCATCTTAGAGGTGCCTCAAATTCAACCTGCTCAAACCAACTCATTATTCCTCCTCTGGTGGGAGCTGGGTTCTCCAGCCTTGCAGGTAGCCAATCACCCAGGCTTTGCATTCTAACCCAGGGAATTGTCATTCCTGACCCCTCTCTCCTCTAGGCCCTTCTTCAAGACCTTCAGGTCAAGGGTCCAGGTATAACAGTGTTTTCTCTTTCTCCTTCCACAGCCTGCCCTGCCTCCTCCTCATGTCCCTCAGCCCAGGCCTTATCCTAGCCCTCCTGGACGAGGCTGGTGGCCTCCCACCCACCCCCATACTGGAGCTAAAGGGGGACTTTTCACTTTGCCTATCATTGGTCAAAACCTTCAGTGACTTTGTCATACAAAGACTGAGCTTGTGTGAGAGGGAGAATGGGGAGAAATGAAGGGGTAACCGACATTCTTGGAGGAAAGATAGGGAACCATTGATCGGACTCAGAAACAGGAAGTGACTGGCTCAGGGTCCCCCAACAAAGCAGAGTCAGAGTAGAATGTTCAGGGGACAGTAATGCTGTCCCTCGCCAGGCAAGCTGACGGCTCCCTCATGCCCCCACTGGACACTGCTCCAGCCACACATAGCTTCCACGTGCCCTAGACGTGCATGCTTTCACACTTCTGCTTCCTTCCTCATGCAATCATGCTTTTCCTCTCTTCCCCTACCTCCGTAGTTAACCACCTGCCCAAGCCCAGCTGAAATGCTGCCTCCTTCAGGAAGCCTTCCCTGAACACTTGTCCTGGCATTTCTCTCTCACGTCACTCAGGACTCTCAGACTTGGGTTAGAAATTCCTGTGCATTCACCCTAGCAGGGGCGGGACTCATCTCACACACACCTTCATATCTCCAAGAGCACCCTGCACAGTGCCGGGCCTGTCACACGTGCTCAACAGGTATTTCTGGAAGGAATTATCATTATATTTATTGTCATTATGAATGACTGGTGTTGGTAGAGCTCTCATTTGAGTCAACCACTGGGCTCAGCCTGCAAGTCAGAGCACATGAGTTTTCACAGCAGCCCCAAAGATTAGCCCCATTTCACAGATGGGGACACTGGGTCCTGGGTCTCAGAGTAAGCAAGTAGCTCGCCCTGGGTCTCACTGCTGGAAGATGGCAGAGTTAGAACTCGACCCCCAAGTGTAGCTGATTCTAAAGCCTCGATGCGGACCTGTGTACACTCTTGACCTGGGCCAGCTGAGCAGTAGGTCAGGGCTCCAGGACTCTACAGCCCCAGATGGCTCTTCTACCTTCAGTGACCCCTGTGGTCCAAGGCCTGAGAACAGAGGCCCTTCCAGGTGTCACAACAGGCTCTGCTCAGGCTGGCTTTTTGGATGACCCTGGTGGTTTAGATCCTGCCCTGGAATCCCCAGCCTGACCAGGTGACAAGAGCTCCCCTCTGGCTCCACAGGAATGCGAAGTACCTTTGCACACAACCTCTCTTTGTCCCTTGCCAGTGGTGGCAAATTGGGCAGACCCAGGGAAACATGGTAAGGCGGCAGAAGTTGGTTTTGGACAGTTTGCAGCTTCTCTGTTCTGTTCCCTTTCCACTTGGGGTTTCCTGCTGGCTGACCCCCTCCCCGTGCTTCGGGCTAGACACTGGGGTTTAACCCTTTCATAACTGAGAGTGGCATGAAAGGAATGCAGAGGGAACTTCAGGCTTTTGGAGGAGATATGGAATAAATGTGGGGGTTCTCCTTGCTCATGAAACTGGGACTGACCTACAGTTAGTTAATCCTCAAGAGAGCCTGTGATGTTTTTGCCCCTTGGGTGGCTTCCAGTCACAAAACTCTGTGGGAAATGGTGCTGTCTCACTTATTCCCCTCACTGGATCCGAGTCCCTGGGCCAAGGTTCCCAGATATGGGGGACTGCAAATCTGCTGTCCCTGCCACCACTCCTGTGGCCCCTGGGCGTGATCACCCTCTTTTTTGTGCCAGGCCTGCACTAGGCTTTCACAGATATCAGCTCACTTGATCATCACGAGGACCCTGAACTCTCCTGCCCGTTAGATGGATGAGGATACCCAGGCTCAGAGGGGTTCCGTGGTACCCAGGATCACATGGCGAGTGCATGTCACACGGTGAGCACATGAGCTGCTGGGATTTGAACTTTGATCCATGTGGCTGCAAAGCCTGTGCTGCCTTGATCCCCCTTTCTACCCATTGCAGGTTGGTGATCAGGCTGCATTCCCCTGGGCAGGCACATAGTCTGCCGTTTCTGTGGCTCTCAACTGCCCAGCACTGGGTGTCCCCAGGGAGCAGGGAGAGGGCTAGGCTGACACAGAGACCAGCCAGGGACGGGGGCTGTCCAGCACTGTGGTTTTCTCCAGTGGCAGGGTCACACTGCCCCGGTGGGCTCATTCCTGTTTCTGTGGTCATGGGCAGCATAACCAACCAGAACCCCAGGGCTCGCCTTTGTGAGCTCTGAGCTAAAAATACCTTTTTCTGGGGATTCTTGTGAGGATTAAATGAGATAATCCGAGCTAAGTGTTTCACATAGCAGCACAGGGTAGGTGCTCATGAAAGCCTTGCTGGCCGCCTGTGACCCGGGCTAGGGCGGGGTGGGGTGGCGACGGTGACGAAACGGCACAGGAACCCACAGGAAACTTCAACATGGAGACTGACAGCCTATGCAAAGGAAGTGGCAAAACAAGAAGAAAAAACTTTTAAATTTTGGCTGAGTAAAGGCAACAGTATAATTACCTTCATTTATAAAAACTGCTTCCCATTAACGCCTAATTCCCATGAAGCGCAACAATGATTATCTCATTAACTATGTGTCAGATTAACTTTGTTGGAGGTTTTATTTGATTAAAACAGTGAACTCTCAACACATATGCTCATTCTTCATAGTCTGTGGTTTCTGGAGCACAGTCCTCTGTTGACAACTTTTCTAAATTAGAAGGCACATTTCCAGGGAAGTGTCTTGTAAAATGCAGTTATTTTGATTCCCCAAAGCAAAGTGGACCAGAGTGGAGAAAGAGTCTCAGAGCGTCCTGTCAACAACGCCCACCCCTGGATTTGCAAAGGCCAGTGACAAAAGATGAATTATGTGTCAATCTGTTTAAAAAAAATGTAAAAACACGGGGGGCTTTTATATTATTTGACTATATTACTACGTGCATTTGTATTATTTTGTAGTAGTGGCGGGTGCTGGGGTTTTTTCCCCCAAACACTGAAAACTCCAAAGTCATTACATCCTGGATTCCATTTCCCCCACGGGGAGAAAAGGTTGCTATCTGTCATATGCACTAAAGCGCCTGACGTTTTTCTCATTTTCTGATAGGCTGTGCAGCACCCCCCTTCTACTCCTCACCCGTACCTTAACAGAGAAAAGCTGCTGGCTGACAGCTCCCAGCTGCACAGGGAGATAGCTGAGCATTTCCAATAGGGAAGTGTCACGCTTTGCCAACTCGGGGGAAGACAGAATAATTGGCTGGAATCACAGACCTGGGCAATGGTGCAAAAGGAGACAGAGCTGATGGTGGGTGGGGGTGGGGGGGTTCCCCCAGGGGTTTGCTGGATATCTCTCATGATGCCAGACTAGAGACTCGTGTCCAGAGGCTCAGGCCCTTCTGCAGCCCACTCTCCCTGAGGTCAAGTGGTTGGGCGGGGCGTTCCGGAGGGAGAGCACATCCCCAGCACTCAGCTCTGATGTGGAGGGGAAGATGGGCAGGGGCAGCAAAGACCCCTGTCATGATTATAGAAAAGGGAGGCCAGAGATCTGGGAGAGGGTACGCACACTATCCTCATCCTCCAGGCCTGTGCTGGCCAAGGACCTGCAGGTGGAAGATGGAAAGGCCAGGTGGAGACGGCCTATTCTGATTCAGACTTCATGCTCAAGGACAGAGACAAGGGCAAGCCTGGATCGTGGAGGACCAGGGTGGGAGGACCTCAGAGAAAGGAGCCCCTGACAATGAGGGGGGTGGGTGCTTGCTTGTTTTATCCTCTCCTGATCACAACCAGCATCCAGATGTGGCCTGAAGAAAGGGTTCCTGGGGTCCATCTGTCTCCCCCAGCCCCAGCCTCACTCTGTGGTTGAGCTGCTTTGCCTTTGGCTGCTGGTCGTAAGGCAACGTTGTCCAGCAGAAACCAAATTGCCAGCACATATATAATTTAAAATTTTCTAGTAGTCACATTTTAAAAAGAAAAGGTAAAACTAATTTTAGGAAGATGTTTTGCTTAACCCAACATATCCAGAATGTTATTGTTTCAACAATCAATATAAAAATGAATGAGATCATTTACCATCTTTTTTTTGTACTAAGTCTTCAAAATCCTGTGTGTAGTTCACCCCTGTAGCACCTCTCAGTTTGGATGAGTTTCATTCCCTGTGTTCCACAACCACAGGGGGCTGGTGGCTGCCATATCTGGCAGCCCAGATCTAGGGCTTTCCTTGTGCCCTGTCACCACTCCCCAGAGAGGCAGCCATTTGGTTTCCTTAGAGGCGCCAGGTCCAGACCCCTTTGCCTTTCCATGACCAAGAAGCAAATCAGCCTCTGGGGCTGGGTACCCGTCTATCTTGCCTTTAACAAGGGAGGTCTGTGGGAACGTGACCTCCTAGTCCTAGACTAGGCATGAGAAGACTCTGCCATTCAGCCTGCTGTGTGACCTGGAGCAAGTCATCTGACCTCCTGGGCTCTAGTCTCATCCTATCAGGTGAGGGGTTGCCATTAAACTTGTGACTTCCAAACAGAGGGACCTGTTTAGCAAAGGTGATTTCATACAGAAGCCCATTGTATCAAAGGAGAGAGTTCCTGCCCTGTTTCAAGACAGTGAGGGGCTGGAGGTCCTAGAGAACCAAAGAGGAAAACCCTGCACCACGCATCAGCCACAACCCACATTTTTACACATCATTTTGTGAGCATGCAAAACTATACCGTAGGTTGCTTATGGACCCCTATATATAGTAAAAGTATGAAAACACTCATGTGAAAATGCATCAATTTCAAGTCAGTGGCCTCCTCTGAAGGGGGAGGAAGGAGATGGGTTAGGGATGGCGCTTCAGTTCTATTGCCAACATTTAATTTTTTTTTTTTAAGATTTTATTAGGGAATCGGGGAAGAGGAACAGACAAGTTGCTGTCCTTTTGTTCTTCAGTCTAGTTGTGGAGGACATCGCTTCACTGGCCTATGTTGGTATTACCATTGTGGTCTTCCCGGGTGAGGCAGATAGGTTGCCGGCCATTGGACGGCCACTCACGGCAGCTCACGAAAGCGCACGCCCGCTGCCGGCCAGCCCCACTGCAGCCTACGCCATCGCCGGCGACTCACAGCAGCTCAGTCCCAGGTTGAGCTGTTGTTCACCATCTTAGCCGTAGAGGGTGTAGCATCACTGGCCCTCATGTAGGATCCGAACTGGGGCCCTGCTGCTCAGAGCTGGCGTCCCAAGCCAGCTCTTAACCAACGCGCCACTCAGCCGTCCCAACATTTGATTTTTTGGCCAAAGGAAACCTAAAGAAAATATAACAAAATATTAACATTTGTTCAAGCTTAGTTGTGGGTGTGTAGCTATCTGAGATATTACTCTATTTCTCTGTATGTTTGAAATATTTTATAATTTAAATGTACTTAAAACTTTAAGAAGGGTAAAAAGATATAATCTGATGTCACTTGAGGCATACAATTTTTTTCAAAGTAAAATATAATGTATGCTCCTCTCTCTAAGCCCCCACCCTCCCCATAATCCGTAAGACCCCTTCCAACCTTCCTGCTCTGTTAGTCGAGGAATCCAAGGCTAAACTGACCAATGGTTGGGTGTCCTGGGGAAAAGGACGAGAGCCAAGCAGTTATGCAATAAGCACTGGCCATATCTACAGGGTATCAGATATGTGGGGGGCCCCTGGAGTGATTAAGACATGACCTTGCTTCAAGAGGAGTCCAAGAGGAGAGCTCTGCCCTCAGTGCTGGCTCTGGGAAGGCTGAGGACGGAGACTGGGATCAGGCCCCTCCCTGGTTCCCATGTCCCCAAGTCTGCAGACTTTGAGGAGTCTCCTTCTCTTCAGTTCTCACCGAAACTCCCCTTCCCAGCCTGCCTCTCCAGTGACCTGGATTGTCTAGCTAAGTCTGGGGGACACTGCTAGCTCACACCTTGGAATGTCTGTGTGTTCTCCCCTAAGCCCCCATCTCTGGCCCCTCCCAGTAGCCCCTTTCCCCCATCTACTCATGAGCCCCACAGCTCAGAAAGGTTAGGAGACTTGCCAAGGTCACCTTGCTGGGCTGTGTACGGCGGGAGGTGGAGGGTTGCAGGAGGGCAGCCATGCACCAGGTCTAGTGGGGTTATTTCATCCCGGCAAACAGGTCCTGCTGGTTTGCCATTTGGAAGGTTTGGCCCCAATTCCCATGGGCTGGTTAAATGGTAACTTGTCTCTTTGGTTGTGTGTGGAAAAGTGACAGGGAAAGAGCCACCAGCTCTGATGACCAGCCAGTGTGAGACCCAGCTGGCTCTGGGTGCTTGGCTACAAGTGACGCTTCTTTCCTTCATTTTTTATTCTTTTCCCGAATCTCCCCTTTCACACATCTTCCTAGCCAGGTGAATAAGAGCAAGGGGGAATGGTGATGCTCATAGCAGAGTTCCACAGCTATTGAGGGCCTTTCGTTGGGAGATTGATTAACCAAGAGCCTCCACACCCATTTTGCAGGATGAGCAACTGAGGCCAAGAGGAGTGAGGTCACCATGAGTCACCGGCCTTCCCGGCCTAACTCAGGCCTGGCTCGATATGGCTGAGTCAAAAAGGCAGAACAGGGGGGGAAAAAGGCAGAGCAGGCCAGGGTGGGGGCGGGGGCTTCACCTCACAATCTCTGGTTCTTCCAACAGAGTCAGATGTCCTTGCCGACCTTCGATCCCCTCAGCTGTGTGGTCAGGGGGTGGGAGCCACTCTCCTCCCCTTGTTCAGCACCTGCCTGATTACAGAGCTCGGCACACGGGATCTCATCTGCCTCACAACAGCCTTCTTTGTAAGCAGGGCTGATTTTACAGACAAGGAAACTGAGTCAGCGAGATTAGGCCCTTGTTCAAAGTGTCACAGCTGGTCAGTCTGAGGGAGACCAGACCTCTGGACGCCAGCCTGGGACACAGGCTTGTCTGTGGCTCCCAAGCTTGCGCCAGACCTGCTCCTGCTTCCAGGGTAAGGACCCCCGGGAGGCAATGTTTCTGGTCTGAGCATGGGGCTGATGAGGGCTGAGGACCCGCAGGGGTTTATCTTGGAATGGACAGTCACTTTGAGAGGGAGTCTGCCGACTAGACTTTCACTTTTCCCTTTCAGGCTGGGTTGTCCTGTCTCCACTCTGAGACAGTCTGTCTGCTCGCTGCCAGGGAGTGGGGCCGCTGTGCTTGCTGTTGTCAGCTTGGCCATTTCTCAAGCAGGGTCTCACTTGTCACCGTGTGCTCACTTGGTGTCCACACTGTAGTAGGAAGAAGGAGGACCCCAGGTGGGCAGAGGGAGTCCTCCCTAGCTTTTGGAGACGTCGGGGAGGCAGGAGCCTCACTAACCCGTCCCAGACAGTCCGTGGAATCCGAAAGTGCTCAGGGAGGGTAGTGCTCCCCCCTCAGAAATTACACACAGCACGAGACAGGCCTGGGTCGTCCTAACCTCATGGTACTAGCTGTGACTCCCTTTCCTTCTTGGTACCTGGGAAAAGAGACTACCTTCCTCAGCAGGTCTTATGAAGGTATAAAGACATAACATGCGTGAAAGAGCCTCCTGTGGGGCCTGGTACACGGCAAGTGTCCCATAGCCCCTCCCCATCGGCTCCTTGTGCATCTCTGCTGTGACGTCAGCCTCAGAGGAACGGGAGGCCCCAGGATTCCCCAGGAGGGAGCATGGCATCCTCACCCTCAGCAGCTGGCTCCTGCTCCATTGAAGCCACTTGATGCCATGCTGGGGCCAGAGGTTCTTTACTGAGGAATCTGCAGTGGGAGGCTGAAGCCAGGGTCACAGGGAGAGCGGGCAGAGGACAGCTGCCCATGGCAGGTCACAGCTGGGGCTCCGCCTGCACTGAAGGCTAACTTCTTTTCCTGCAAAATCATCTTGTGTAAGTAGGGTGCTGGGTTGAACATGCTCAAGTCAGAGTTGAGCATCGAGCCCCCATGGTGCCAGCTCGGATCATGCTTTAGCCAGCTCTGGGAGCCTCGCTAAGGCCAGAGCAGCTGGCCTAAGCAAGCTGAGCTATTTCCCAATGTGTTCTCGGAGAGTTATACTAAGTAAGCCTCGGGTCACGACACTGGGGCCCACCCTCCTGCAGGGAGGAGGCGGAAGGATGCAGCCTCAGAAAGCCCATTACCTGGTGAGCAAAGAAGGATCCTCCTGCCGGGTACTTCCAACCTTTGACCAGTTCTTCCCTCCCTGAGGGAGAGCCAGATTGGGAAAGGGTGTGACTGGTGTCCCAGGAGCCCAAGTCCAGCCACTGCCCTTTGATGGGGTCAGGCAGCTCTCTTCTGCTGAAAGAGCGTCTCAAGTGGGCACCAAGTTCTGTTTGGGGGGGAGGGGGTCCTTGGGCTTCTATCTCAAAAGGGGCATGTCTTCTCCCCATGCCTTCTAGACCTCCTGTTCCCAGATGCCTGCCTCCTCCAGGGCACCCCAATGGGTGACTCTACCACCCCAGGACATGGGACTGGAGCCACCCTTACAGAACCGGTTTGAAGCCAAACAGTGGCGTGTTACAGTCCAGCTGAACAGGAGTCTACAGCTGGGTGAACACAGTCAGTTCAAGGCAAAGCAGGATAAAGTGTCCGTAGGGACACAGGGGCAGTCCAGGCAGGGCATGTGTGCGGTAAGGTCCTCCCTGCTCCTGCTCCCCTGGGCTGCAGGGATGTAGTGGCCTAGCAAAGGGACCCCAAGGTCTCCCTTCTCTTCCTGTGTCCCTACCATAGCTGCCGGGCAGCACAGGCCCCTCGCCCCAGCAGCAGGCCTGGTCACTTCCCCTGAGAGGTGAAACAGAACAAGGGGCTGCAGCCTTCTTAATATGAGGGAGGCACAGTTAGGTCTGAACGGCTGTCTAGAACTCACAGAAACCTCCTGAGAGGTTGATGAGTGACCCTGGCACAGTGGGAGGTCTGCCCTCCCTCAAAGGGAGCTGAGGGCCCTCCACTGTTCCCCTGGGCTAGAGGGAGGCCTAAGTGCAGGTGTCTGGGGGAAGCTGAACACAGTCTGATGGACCGGAGCGGGGTGGGGCAAAGCACAGGCTGAGCCTCTGTGGGTGGGACAGGCCCCCCCAATTCCTATAAATGGGGAAGAAGCTGAGAAGGGGAAAGCTAAGGGGGGTGGGGGAAGGATTTGCTGGATGGGCAACAAGCTCTGAAGGGCCTGATAATATCTCTTCTTAGAATTGCCCTTGGCCATGTGGCTGAGGCCTAGGGAGGCCCTTAGCATGTGTGCAGGAGGTGGGGACGGAGGGGACTGCTAAAGACCAGATTGCACCCCTGGGAAAGGAAATAGCCAGGGAGCCTTCTGCAGCCCAGCCCCTGAGAAGAGCCTCCGAGGAGGAGGCAGCAAAGAGGAAGCGGGTGTGGCCTTTCTCAGCACCCCCTCCCCGTCCCCCTAGCTGGCACACCTTGGGTAGACTCCAACCTACAACTCCACTGATCTCGGAAGGTCACACCCTCTCCCACCTTGTGCTTCTGATGTTGATTTCCTGCAGAGCAGTCAGTGTTACTCCTGCAGCTTAAAGAACAGAGGTGGCTCCACCCCCAGGGCCCACCCACTGGGCACAAAGGACCTTTGTCAACATCCCAGCTCCATCACAACACAGGGTATGATCGGGCCAATCACACCTGCTTCCTGGACTCCTGAATCCGCATCTGCAAACCTGGGGCCTGAGACCAGAGCCCCCTGAGCCACCATCCAGACCCTATAGTCCCCCTCTTCCATGACTGTCCTCACCGGGTACCCCCACCCACCCTCCTTTCACGGAAGGGGGGTGGTGTTGATGGATAACTGTGCCTTCTCCTCCCCAATTCCCAGGCTCCTCTCCCGGATCCCACATCGAGGAGCCCTAGTAGTAATCCAAACTTGCCACTCACCATTGGAATAGGTCTTTACAATTTACCGTGCACCTGTCTACAGCCATGATTTTTTTCACCCTCTCTGCAAGGCAAATATTGCTAGCTCTATTTAATAATAAGGAGACTGAGTCCCAGGCCCCCAGACTTGCTTCAGGTCAACTGGGAGGTCAGAGGCAGGGCTGGGTTTTGAACCTCCCTCAGGGACTGAGGGAGGCACACCCCAGCATTGTGCAAAGCCCCTGAGTACTCTCCACGGGGCTGCAGCGTGAACACCCAGGCACCTCCATTCAGGGCCTGGCTCTGCAGACGGCTGAGCCTGGTGATGTCAGTGTTGCCATGGAAACTCTTCCCCTGGCGTCGGGCAGGACCAGCCTCCCAGTGCAGTTTTCCCTTTGTGTGGACTTTGCAACACGTTGCCAAGGCAGTGGGGCCTGCTGGGCGGGTTGGCATGGGGTGGGGAAGGCAGACAAAAACCCACACCGCATCCCAGCAACCAGCAGCTCACAACAGGGCTCCTGGAGCTCTCCGGAGGGAGGGGCTGCTAGCTAGGGCCCCTAGCTGACCACGCCCTTGAGTGGGGGAAGACCCCACACTCCTGCTCAGGAGCCCTGCCTGGCAATAGTCCTTTAGCATTTTTTAGTGCTATATTGGGGTCCTACCACCTCAGAAACATCTGGGTCTTGTGTAAAATGCAAATGTGGGCCCATCTACACACCTGCTTGGCAAGGGGTGGGGAGGAGTCGTGGTTTAATCAAGTCCCCAAGGAGATTTGGGTGTGCAGTCAATTCTGAGAAACACCATTTAGGGGAGAATATGGTTTACTGAGCACCTAGATATGTCAGGCTCTTTTGCCTAATTTGTCTTGCATAATCCTCTCAGCAACCCTGATGGGGGTTGGAGGGGGAGAGAAAGGAGGGGGAGGTGAACAGAGGAAATAGGTTTTGGGGTTTTTTTCAAATCCCCATTTCACAGTGGAAGACACTAAAACTCAGAGAGGTTAAATCTCTTGCTTGCTGACAGTCACCCCAGCTTGGACGTGGCAGAGTCTGGATTTAAACCCAGGGTCCGAGGCCCTACCCTGTGGCCTCATTGGCACAGGCCAGCAGCCTGGCATCACTAGCTTCCTCCTGCTACTGGTTTTCCAGGAAGAATCCTAAAGCACCTTTGTGGAGTGGGCCAGCTCTGTACAAAGCCTCACAGTAGCTTCCAGATTTATGAAGGGCTGAGCCAACGGGGAGACCCACACAGCTGGCCCCTCCCACAGGCTGGGCTGCCTGCCGAGGAGCAGAAAGGAAAGCCATGCCCTTCCCCCACTCAGCCGTCCCACCCACCCCGTTCTGTTCCACTGTCTGCCCCATCTTCCTTGATCTCTTAAAGGGCTCCTGAAGTCCCTGGTCCTTCCTCCTGCCAGGGCTAGGTGGCCGCTGACCCAGTCCACAGAGATGCCCCTTCTTAGAAGCCTCCAGGAAGAGAAACTTGGTGACCTTTGCTGGCATCCACAGGGCCTCTGTGCTCACAGCTGACAGCCTGCCTGTGTCCAACCTCCACCCCTCCTGCTGTCTTTGAAGACTGGTTCCTCTAGCACTGTCTCCCTCTTTCTTAACAACCTCTGAGGACGCTCCAAGGGGAGGAACCCCACATTTTGGTCCTGGGTTCTATTCTGCCCGTAACTTTCGAAGGAGGCTGAGACTCTGGCTGACACCACAGTCTCCCAGGGTCACGGTTCCTCTCCACCTGTAGCTCCCCTCTTAAAGGTCAACAAACACCGGAGATGTTGGATGAGGGCTAAACACACGCCAGGGATGCCAAGAATTCGACGGTGAATGGCGCTGGGACTTCTCAGCCCAGGGTGGGGCGCGCCTAAAGCCAGCCAGTGTTCCGGCCCCAACCATTACCGAGCTCTGCTTATCATTCTTTCATTGAACAAGTATTTCCTGAAGTCTGTGCTTCATACTAGGAAGGATTTTTCTTTAAAAAAGTCTCCAAACAAGCCGAAAAAGGATGGAAGAGGATAAAAACAAAACCAAACTCTAAATACCTGTGATCCCTGCCTCCACAGGAGAATACAATCTAGTTGTAATTCACATCTAGCGTCACTTCAGGGCAGAAAGAAAGTTTTCCTCTCTCACTAACAGTGGTCCTTTCTAGCTGGTGGCATCGTGGGTGACTTTTAAATACTTTTGCCATATTTTCCATACCTTCTACTCTGTAAGATATAAATTTTGTAAGCAGAGGAGCCCCCAGTGAATATGGGTGTCTCTTGGGCGCCTCTTAAAAGGCACACCGTTTACAGCTTCTGGGCCTGGAGGATGGGTTGGTCAGCTGGTCCATCCCTTCTCCCAACAGGGGCATGCCCAGACAAGCCCATAACATCCTCCAGCCCCACCTCTGCAAGATGAGTGAGACTGCCTGGGCTGAGAGCCTGAGCGAGCCAAGGGGGCCCCTGGAGACTGACCCCAGCCAAAGAGTGCAAACCAACCAAAGCATCAGAGGGCAATGAGTGGGCGACACCCACTCATTGGAATTTAACCTCCTCCCTGGCCCTGCCAGCCTGGGGGAGCACAGGGGCGAAATGGGGGTATAGCTTCTCTGAAGGGGAGGAGTGCCAATGTGACCTGGCCTCTCTCAGCCTCAGTTTAGTCATCTGTAAATGGGAACAATAATACTGCTTGCACAGGCTGTTGGAATTAAGTGAGACAACTGCTCCATGGCCCCCTAGAGGGCACCTGGCACAGAGTAGTTACTTACTGCTGAACGTTTGGGTGAAGGCGCAAGCTGGCAACTCTCCCTTACTGGGTTGCAAACCCTCCCCTCTCTGACTTCGGAACTGTAAAACATTCTTCCCTTCATAATCTGGGTGAGAAGCTCTCTCCGCTCCCCAAATTCTCCAACGCCCGCTGCAGCAGGAAGCCCAGGACTGAAGGCGACTGAAGGCGCAGTGATGCCCAGCTCCCTGGAATTCCTCCCAGTGCCCTGGGGCCCAGGCAGCCCCTTGAAACTGCCACGTCCAGTCCCACCACACCCCAAACTGTAGCCACAGGAATGAAAAGGATTATGGCTGTTTTGTGGGAGGTTCAAACATTTCAAAAGCCCTGTGAAGGCCAAGACCATCTGCGGGCTACAACATATGTTCTAAATCTTAGCATTGATCTTGCGAAAATAACACCTTGGCGTTTTATCAGGGCCCTTCGGGGAAATGATTTCCCCCAAAAGGGGAGACTCTAATGGGGTGACTCTCAGGCCCTTTGGCTGCCTCTGGGCCACACCAGGCATCCGTGTGTTCTGTGCTGATTGACCCTATCTCCTCACACACTGCATTTTCAGGCCGTAGTGGATTTGAGATTTTAGCAACAAAATCTTA